CCTTCACTACATGTGAATATAAGTTTGTAACGATTTATGTGAAACTTCCTTTATATTCTAGCAGCGGATTTATGCATGCCAATTAAGTGTCGACCCTTAATTAACAAATACAAATAAGTTATCAATCAAATAGTTAAGCCAATTGCATTCACGATTCAAGAGTTCATAACTTGAATTTATCAAATTATATTGCACACATAATCATGGCTTTGAAATCACCCCTAGCCAAGAGGGGTTTAGCCACTCATATTTACAACAAAACGAAAGGAAATGAATTTAAACATTAGAAACAAAAGAAAGAAAACCCCTAAACGCTCCAACAATCCAAGTTGGACAGCAAGTACATCCAAGCACTTTCCTTTCCTTCCTTTGCTACGGCACAAGGTGTTGGTGAGTGTTTGAAGGTTTGTTTGTATGGAGGAATGGATGTGTTTGGATGAAGGTTGTGTTGAAATGGGAGTGAATGATATAACCAAGTATGTATTCCATTTATGTTACACACACTTCCTTTTATAGAGGAAATGCATGGCAATGGAGGGGAACATGGAGTGGTGTAGCAATTGAGTGCAATGATGCATGAAATCTAAAATGATGGAGGGAACAAGGAATGGTGTAGCAATTGAGTGCAATGATTCAATGTAATGATGCATGAATCTAAAATAATGGAGGGAACAAGGAACGGTGTAGCAATTGAGTGCAATGATTCAATGTAATGATGCATGAAATCTGAAATAATGAAAGGGACAAGGGTGATGATGCATGGCATGGGTGGAAAGGTGAGTAAGTGGTGAATCAATGAGTGCAAGGAGGTGAAAAGATATTGTGCACATGGTAGACAAAAGAAAGGAAGTGGAATGATGCAACAAATGAGTCAATGGAGGGAACATGGATGATGATGCACGGCATAGGAATTCAAAGGGAGTGCAATGGTGGTGCACGGCAATGATGGAAAGGGGAAAGGTGAATGGTAGAGTGACACCCCTTTGTGGCTGAGCTCTTTATCCTTTTTACACTAATTGTTATTTCTCTTTAACACATTCCTAGCCTCTTGAGTCTTCAATTTCGTCCATCCACCTTGCTCCATACATGTGTTATCCATTCCAAGCCCCAAAACTGCTCCGAAACGCACCAAAATGCATCTTATTGCTTTATAAGGCTTATGGACCTATAAATACACGAAAATAACTTAAAATACATAATTAACTAAGAAATAACAACATAAATGCATGAGAACAAGCTAACTCAGTCGAATAAATATGCTATCACCGGACCGGAAAATCCATGAGAAAATCCTTGCATCTTCACCCTGACGTCAGCGTGCATCACCTCCACCTCGAGCTCTCGGGCTGGCAACTCCTGCCAGGCCTTTCCCTCGGGGTCGCTCAGGCTCCATCGCCAGCACACGCTGGACCTCCCCACTCGGGCTCTCTGGCCCTGTTCCGCAGCATGTCCCTCAAGCACGAGCTCCCACTGGAGCTGCTCTTAATCCAACCTTTTATTAGTAACATGGAAGAAAAAGAAAAAAGAAATATTAATGACAACTAATCTACCTTTTGTGATTCAAAGCAATTATTCAAAAGATTTTGAACTAAACATGAAAGAGATTTCACAAGCTCTTGAAAATTCATGTTGTTATTTAAACCTAATTTAGCTATCTCGTCAGCTGCAAAATTACTCTCTTTATGGACATGCTACAAATTCCAACTCCAATTTTCTTTGATTAAATTTCAGCACTCTAAGATAAGACCATAAAGAGAATGATTAAGGCGCTAGGAGAATTATGAATGAGAGAGACCATAATTCAATTTCTTAATTTACGCATAAAATTGTTAAAAGATTATGTATTTCATGAACAACTAAAAACACTAACCTAAAAAAATTCATAGATAGTAAAGATGAATCATCTTGACAAAACAGTGCAAAGTAGACCTAAATGAATAGACTTTTGGAAATCATATTAAGTCCTGATACAACTTTGTTTGTAGCAGTGTTGATCTGACGGTTGGGGTGCAAACATAAGGGGATTAGTGGGGAAGTCTAGGGTGCATTTGTTGTACCGGACTGTCTCGGACTAGACTAGCTTCAAGGACTAAGTTAGACTGGCTTAGACTAGACTAAGCTGGACTGATTTAGTGAAGTATTTAGTGCAGCATCGGACTAAGAAGCAGGACTGTAATATTATATTATTTTATATTAAATTAATATATATATATATAATTAACATTTTATTATATATTAATATTTTACTATTAATTTATCTTTTTCCTTCTCCCTTTACCTCTTTTCCAATCAAACCCCACCTCTCCATCCTATGTCAAGCCTCTCTTCATACCTCTTTTCCCGTCAAACCCCACCTCCCATCCCGTGTCAAGCCTCTCTTCCTTCTCCCTTTACCTCATCCCTCTACCTTTTTTCTCGTCAAACCCTACCATAGTGAAGGCCCAAGGGAGTGGGCGAAGGTGCGAATCAGAAGGGGGAGGGCGAAGGAGAAGGGAGACGAAGAGGGATCAACGGTGGGGGAGAGAACGGGACTAGCAGTCCACTTGAAATCGAGAGGTCTCCTTAAGAACGTTTAGTGAAACGTTCAGTCGGGGCGAGTCCCATTTAGTCCCATTAAACTTAATCCTTGTCTAGACCAAATAAGGGACTACAGTATAGTCTAGTCCAGTCCCCCATAATCCGGTCAAACAAACGCCCCCTTAAAGATTTAAACTTTATATCTCATATGACTCTGTGCTTTCTTCTTCCCCCAAAGTAAAACCCTAGCCTCTGAAACCTCCTTTGTCGTCGGCCTCTTTGCTCAGGCTTGAGGTCGTCAGCAGCCTAACCCTCCTCTCCTCGCCCTCCTCTACATTCCTCGTCCGTCTTTTTTTTTTCATCCCTTTCGTCTATCTCTTCCTGTTTTTTCGCCCTTCTTCCTCTTCCTTTTTCTCCACCCTTGTTTCCTTTCTTTATCCCCTTTTTTCCCTCTTTGTCCACCCATTGTCCCCATCTCCCCTTTCTCCTCCTGCTCCACCTCAGTTTTTCCCTCTCCAAGCCACCATGGTTGGAGATTTGGTTTATCTTTTTATGCTTTTAGCTTTCGTTTGCTTTCTGTTTGAGCATTTTGTGTCTCAGGTAACTCTGAGCTTAGTCTCAGTTTTCCCTGAGTTTATCTCAGATCTGCTTTCCTTGCCTTGTTCCTCTCCAATCATCGCTCCTCACCGTGAATCTCCTACCATCTACCCTTGCTGCTTCGCAATATTCAAAGTGCTTTTTGCACTATTTGGTAGGATTATGGGAGCGTTTCCAATGTGGGTAGTTTGCCTACCCCAATTTTCCGTTCATCCTTTTGGTTATTCGGCCCTTTCTCCGGGTGGTGGTGACGGATCCGCAGTGGCGATGCAGCTGTGTTGGTGAAGGTGGTTGTCTATGGTTTTCGATTTGGTTGCTGCTTTGGGCTGCTCACTGTGGGCCATTCTCATTGTAATTTTCGTTTATGGTGTTTGGCTTTTGCTTGGCTTTTTGGACTCTTTTTTGGAGATGTCCTTTCCTTGTATTAGCTTCATCTTTAATGAAATTAATTTGTTTGTCCAAAAAAAAAAAAAAAAAAAAGATATGACGGTTGGGACTTGGGAGTGGTACACCACATGTCATTATACAAATAATGAGATATGTGTGTTAAAAAGTTAATAACTTAAAAAATAAAATTTCCCAACACTTAAATAAAATTACGTGATGTACCACCCGTATTCCAGTCATACTGAAAAATTTCTCGTTTAATTGACATGTCCATGTCTTTTTAGGAAATTAAATTTTCACAAACATTGCTCTTTTTTTTTTTTTCCCACTTACCCTTGTGGATTTTCTGATTGAATATGAAAAAATGTAAGTTTTACAGAGTGATTGCTATATCGCCCACGTCGTATTACCAATAAACTTATGTGATAATCAGTCATGTCATCAACTGACACTGATATATGAATTTACAACACCACGTGATTGAGTGACAATAAACGTCACATTCAATCCAAAAAAAATCTCTTATTTTAATAGTCCTGACCCCATAATCAATCCAAACCCAACAACCAAAAATCCCTTACCGATCAACCAAGCATACCTTATACAAAGATTTCTTGACCGCCGGTTCATTCTGTGACATCCCACATCGTCTAGGGAAGTGATTCTTAAATGTATATTCTCATCCCTACCTAGCACGAGGCCTTTTGGGAGCTCACTGACTTCGGGTTCCGTAGAAACTCCGAAGTTAAGCGAGAATGAGGCCAGAGCACTCCCAGGATGAGTGATCCACTGAGAAGTTGATTGTGAGTTTCCAAAAACAAAACCGTGAGGGAATGGTAAGCCCAAAGCAGACAATATCGTGTTACAGTGGTCGAACAGGCCCGGGATGTGGTGGACCCGGGCCAGGATGTGAGAAATGGTATCAGAGCCAATCCCTGGCCGGAAGTGTGCCGACGAGGACGTCGGGCCCCTAAGGGGGGTGGATTGTGACATCCCACATCGCCTAGGAGAGTGATCTTTAAATGTATATTCCCATCCATACCTAGCACGAGACTTTTTAAGAGCTCACTGGCTTCGGGTTCCGTAGGAACTCCGAAATTAAGCGAGAAGGAGGCCAGAGCACTCCTAGGATGGGTGACCCACTGGGAAGTTGCTCGTGAGTTCCCAAAAACAAAACCGTGAGGAAATGGTAAGCCCAAAGCAGACAATATCGTGTTACGATGATGGAACAGGCCCGGAATATGGTGGACCCGGGCCAGGATGTGAGACATTCCCAAGGCAAAGCTAGCCAGAAAGGCATAGGAGAAAGGTCTCACGCACGAACTGATTAAATGAAATAAATTATCTTCATTTTTAATATTTCCGGTTGAATTTAGAGCTTCTTATTATGCCCCCCATCGTGAATTAATCTTAGCTCCGCCATTGGTCACATTGAAAAGTTTATTCGCAAATACTAATGTTGTACTTAAGGGATCAAATTTTGCAACTGAGCTCAAAAGGAGAGATTCGATGGAATATCACTTTCCTTTATGCAAATCATAATTTGACATGTATGCATAACTAACTGATAAAACAAATCTCAATATGTGTCGGACTATAATTGGCTGCCAAGATGGAATAATGATCAAAAAAAAAAAAAAAGCTAAGAAGAAAGGGAAAATGACACGGAATTGGTTTCCCCTTCTTCTAAATACTACAACATGTAAATTTATATCATTCGACCAAAATATAGGCAATCAAATGTAGGCAATGAGAACCCAATCCCTACTACTTTGTTTCAGTGATCGACCTATAACTTCAATGTTTGAGGGTATTTGGTCGAAACCCCGTCACCAACATCAATTGGGCAAGGGAAACTTACCTATCACCGGTTGTATACCCCGTTCTCTATCTACCATCTCCTAACCTGACCATCCCGTGACATGAAAGTTGTTCTCCAACTCTACAAGTTATCTTGGTAACCTGTTCTGAATCCCATCTTTTGTGAACGAACAAAACAGATGACAAGAGAATGCGAAAAACTTGGAAAAACTGATATTCAGTTGAGTAACTCTGTGTAATGTACAACAATAAAGCCATGGATCAAAAACACACCCACATCCTGCATTTGTATTTGGGACTCAAACCCAAGAACGAAAACAGGATGTAACTAGCCGAAAATTCGTAACAGATTACAAAGAGACAGAACTCACATTAAGCATTTCACCCGGAGATCAGCTTCACTACTATAGTTACGATGTTCAAAATTATGAGCGGAAATCTGAAGAACTGGCATGCGTGTATAAATCCTATGATCTGCCCCTTAAGTGTGGTTCTCCGCCCTCCTTGAAATTGTAGCAAGGTCCAGCCTCTCGGACCCAGAAAACGATCTTCGTTCAGTATCGCAAACGCATTTGTAAGCAGCAAGAAGCCTTGGAATAAAGTCCACAGACCCATTTTCTGCACAACACAGGTTGCAAATCTCAGTTTCTAAACATCACAATCTTACAAGAATGGCATGTTTGGAGGTGCTTTTGATATTGTTAAGGGGTTGATCGGGACACCATATGGAACCGTTTAAAAAGCGCTTTCTAAGTACATTTAGCAGAAGAAAAAAAAAACTTAAAATCGCTTACGGGACAGAAAATCTCTTTCCGAAGAAGCACCCGTGCTTGTGAAAGAAATACTTATCGCAAAAACACTTATTAGCAGGTAGGAAACAATCCCAAACGGACCCTATAAGAATTTTCAAATAATAAAAAACAATTCCGACTCCGCTTACGGTTAAAAAGCACTATGAACGTAACTGTAAAAGCACTTATGATCAATTGTTGAAATATCAGTCAAAACTTCAATTTCTTAAGCGCATAGAAAATTCATTAAAAAACTCCAAGGGCCTATAAATATACTGAAAATTCAAGCGAAAACTGAAATATTTACAATTTCGTTTCAACTATCGATTTTGAACACAAAAATAAACTGATCAGAACTGAAAAGACATGTTCTTTTGTATCTTAACATAATCGAATCCGTCCTAGGAAGAACAAGATGAAAATAAATCTTACCGGAGATTACTTGTTCCAGACAACAAGTCGCCTCTCGGTCGAAAGACTTCGCCTCGATTTCAACGAAACGACACAACAGGAAAGACTGGAAGTACTCGCAAAGCAAGGATAATTATTTTATAGCACTACGTCCGAATCCTCCTTATGACACTTTTCATCTGACGGTCAGGAATCCTCCACGTGTCATTTTAAGACATACTCACTTTTTCTGACCCGACCCGGATGTTCGAGTCCAATATATGACGACGACCCGATAAAATTTACAGAGGGACTGAGTGAGGTTTTGCTGACGGACATGGATAAACCCTAACACTCAGCTCAAACCATGGCTTCCTTTCACCTCTCTCTCCCGCTTGTCATAAGCCCCAGAAGCGTCATTTCGAATGGGGTAGCCTTAGAATCTTTAAAGTTAAAAGCTTTCAATCCACGGTTTTTGCTACTTAAACCCCCCAAATCGCACAATCTAAACCCGCCCAGAGCTTCCACCAATGGCGCCGACAACGGAAGCATTGAACCCAGCAAACCCACTCGCCGCGGCAGGAAAAAGGGGCCAACTTCTTCTTCTTCGGAAGCACCGAAAAAACCCAAGCGTTCGAAGAAATCCGAGACCGTGAACGGCGCCGTCGAACCCGAACCCGTAATCCAACCCGAAAATCCGGATTCGGAACTCGAGGATTACGACGACGGCATAGATTTCCCGTACGATGACCCGCCTCTGGTTTGCTGCTTCGGCGCCGCGCAGAAGGAGTTCGTACCGACGGTTCGGGTCTCCGACAACCGGATGCACCCGGATATATACTCGCAGTGGAAAATGCTTCAGTGGGACCCGCCGGAGTTTGTGAGAGCCCCCGGCGGGTCGCCCTCCAATGTAGCGATTTCGCACGTGCGGCTCGGTGGGAGGGCGGCGTTTATGGGGAAGGTCGGGGAGGACGATTTTGGGGATGAGCTGGTGCTGACGATGAACAAGGAGAGGGTTCAGACGCGCGCGGTGAAGTTCGATTCGAGTGCGAAGACAGCGATGACGTACATGAAGATTAAATTTGACGATGAGAGGATGTGGGCGGAGACGGTGAAGGAGTCCGCCGAGGACTCGCTGCTCTGCTCCGAGCTCAACCTCGCCGTGCTCAAAGAGGTATTGTCTATAGTGTTTACGTTGTATTTGCGTAAGGGCGATTTTGCTATTAGTAGAAACATGGCGGAAGTTTCATAAACATCGAAGTGCTTTCTGAAGAAACATTTGAAAATGCTTTCTTGAAAAACACCTAGGAAGTGCTCCTTGAATAAGCACTTGCGAAGTAGGAAGTGCATTTCGAAGAAGCACCTAGGAAGTGCTTCTTGGAAAAACACTTTGGAAGTAGGAAGTGCTTCTCAAAGAAGCACCTAGGAAGTGCATTTTGAAGAAGCGCCTAGGAAATGCACCATGAAGAAGCACCTAGGAAGTGCTTCTCCAAAAAATGCTTTTAAATTTTTCTACAAATTGATGTTAGAACCGCCTTTGATTGCCTACAAGGGCTAAAGCTTTTGATTGTGGGAAAATGTTAGCCCTTTTGGAGCACTCTCAAACAGGCTAAAGATGTCTACACAAAGCACGTAGGTTGGGTTTTTGTATTACAGTTAATTGAGAGCGCAGCAATCGTTTGTTTGAGCACATCGTTCTCTATGAGGAAGTGATTTCCATACTTTCATATTGTTGTTTGGTTTCAATTCTTATGTTGTTCGTTCTGCACTCTTATATTGTTCGTTTCGTATGAATTCTTATGTTGTTGGAAAGGGATGAGTTCATTATTATATACGTTTTGATGTCTTAACGCAGGCCAGAATGTTCCACTTCACTTCGGAAGTTTTGACGTCTCCCTCAATGCGACCAACCCTTTTCAGAGCAATGTCATATTCCAAAAAGTTTGGGGGGCTTGTGTTTTTTGATTTGAACTTGCCGTTGCCTCTGTGGAAATCGCGTGATGAAACAAGGAAGTACATTGAGAGAGCCTGGAACCAAGCTGACATAATCGAGGTTTCGAGGCAGGAATTGGAATTTCTTCTTGATGAAGACTACTACGTGAGGAAGAGGAATTACAGGCCCCAGTACTATGCTGAGGAGTTTGAGCAAACCAAGAAGCGGAGAGATTATTACCATTACACGCCCGAAGAAATATCTCCATTATGGCACGATGGACTTAAGTTTCTCTTTGTGACGGATGGAACGCTTCGAATTCATTACTATTCCCCTTCGTTTCACGGTGTTGTGATTGGAACGGAAGATGTGCTCATAACCCCATTCACTTGTGATAGGACTGGTTCTGGTGACGCTGTTGTGGCTGCGATTATGAGAAAGCTGACCACTCACCCTGAGATGTATGAAGACCAAGATGTTTTGGAAAGGCAGCTTCGATTTGCAGTTGCTGCGGGAATAATATCGCAGTGGACGATCGGTGCTGTTAGAGGTTTTCCTACGGAAAGTGCAACTCAAAATCTGAAGGAGCAGGTTTATGTGCCTTCGATGTGGTAGTGGCGTAGATCCTAGGTCTCAAATGTTGTTCAGAAATTGTTCGTTGTATTGTATGATCTCTCGACTGCGGAAAATTTTGCCTATTTAGGAAGAACAGGTGGGAAAGATTGTATCCAATGTACTTGCAATTTTAGCAGAAACCAAATGCAGATACTAAGATGAATTTAGTGTTTAGGGTTTATCCTTGTACTGTATTTTATAACGAACCCAAGCAAAAGAAGCCCCCATCTAATCAAGGAGAAAGTACAGGACTCTCGGATCACGTCAATTGTAGGGCATCTCTCACAAAAACGTGAAACTCTCGTGTTTTGGTCACATTGGCTCCGAATTGAGGGAGCCGGTACAATAATCACAAAAGAAAGCAAGTAATTGATGTGCCGGAAAAGACTTGATACCCGTTGAGGCATTTTAGGGATAGTCGCCATACGGCCGGAGTCACCCACAAACTATGGGCAAGTGCGGCTGTAAGGCCGAGAGGAAGAATTCGAAATTGAAGAAATCGCTACTTGATCTTCAATATGCCCTGGTTAGTTTCAAGAAATCGCTCGCAGGACAACGACAACTGAGAAATCTGCTTGAAATGTATGAAACTTCTTTCTATTATAGGTTGTGTAAGAAAAATTACATTCAAATTCATCGCGAAGCTCTCGTGTTTTAGACTAAATCGAAGAAAGAATAATTGAATCAATGAATTACTATAGCAGCTCCGTTTCTGACAACGGCAAGAGGTCTCTGTGCTAATCAAACTACTCGAGCTCCACCTTCTCTGCAATCTCAAATGCCTTCTCAATCTGATTTCATCATAAACCGAAACTTGCATTGCAAGTCACAAGCGAACCCATAAAAACTTCTCGGCCCTGTATAGCAAGCACAGTTTCTGAGACCGAACGAAAAAGCACTTCTTTCAAAAGCCCACCATTTCAGCTGCCATTTTGAGCTATGGTAATGTGACATTGTGTGGTATTTTCTACAGCATGAGCTAGCCACAGTCAATCTCCATCCTACTGCCTTATCTTTGTGACAAAACACTCATACTTCTTCTCTCATCAGACTTCACGCTAGACATTTGCTCCTGCGTCTTGTTACAGATGCAACCGGGAAAGGGATTTGCATAGAAGTTCTCCTCCAACCTTGGTGACTCTCCGATCTGTCTAGCATATGGTGCTCCGAGCCTGTCAGAATGCAGATTTTTAACCGCAGACGAAATTTTTTCCCATGATATTGCTCCCTTATCCAACTGATCGACAAGTTGAACAAAATTTTGTCTGAAATGGAATTCATAAAATGTCAGAAAACTATCTCGTGTTAAAATTCCAATCAGGATGTTGGGAACTTCAGTAGGCTAATACTAAATGCATGGTACAAGAGCGAACCTGTCAGGATTGATAGTCTTCCGAAATCCTTCAAACCTCCTATGTCCCTGCACTGTCTTTGCCATATTACCATCGTACGTATAAACAAAGACATCACTCTCCATTGCTACTATATGATCCAAGGCAGCAAGGCGATTTTGGTACGGCTTGAAGGCCTCTAGCTCTTCTTCTGTTGCAAGGGTGTTGTGCGAGAAGACATTCGGATACTCAGCGCGAAAAGCAGACATGCTGTTGCTGCCATATATCTCGCCAGCGACAATGTAGATCGTAGTCGTCGAAGGGTATCCCATGGCTTTAAGGAATAGGGCAGCTTCTCTGGGTGAAAATGGGCATCCGCCTTGGAGCCTTCGTTCTTCACTATCGATCACTTTTTCCTTCCAATGTTTGACGCTGTACCTCATAACCCGAAGCTCCTCGGATTCCTCTGCTGTGAGGTTGTGGTTGCAGCCGGTGAAGGCAAGCATGTCCTTCTCATATCTGCAATCACGAACATTTTCGTTACTTAGTTCCATTACCTCCGGAACAACATAATACACAACGAATCAATCAAACAACAAAAATACCTCAAATGAAGAGCAATATAAGGATTGCTATTGTTCCTCAGTCTGTCAACCAAAACTCTCCCAAGATCCTCAATCTCCTTTGCATACTGGAGGGCCTCGTAATTTGCACGGCACCTCAGCTTTTGGATGGAGGATGCAAGTCCATTGTTAGCAAGTCGGGAATCCGTGTGTGTAAACTTTATAACCTTATGCTTCTTTAACAACGGGATCATCTCGCTTCTGTAGTATCTCGCCTGCATACAAATCATCGTTAGATACATTTCGAAGAACCTAATCCGTACACATTCGAAAATTTATTAACACGATCGCACCTTTGACCAAGAGACCGGAGCCTTCAGAAGAGGCTTCACGGCTGCATATTTGGTCGGCAAATACTCAATAATATCAATATCATCTTTCAATACTTTCATGAAGTGCCTCCAGTCAAATATATCTTTAAAATCACTGCAAATACAAATATACGAAATAATTAATCAACAAAACATAGTTAATTAGCCACTAATAATCCTATCCGACAACATCATTTGCACAGAAATCTTACCTTGGATCCGTCCAAAAAGACTTATGGTCCAGTAGTGGAAGAACCAGGGTAGCATTCATTATCTTTGCAACGGCTACCATATCACATATCTGCACCATCAATTAGGCTGTCATGTCAGCATCCAAAACGCGTCTATAATTTACTTTTTCCGCGAGACGATATTGTAAAACGCTG